GAGACCCATGTTGCTCCATTCCTCCATTCCTGGCGTTCTCAATGGGCTGTTCCTACCGCAAGCGTGTGCAATTCAGAAGTGTGCACGCAAGAACCGCTGATGCTCAGTTATGGCAGCAAGTCGGACGCCCAAAGCAAAATGCCACTATTGTACTTTTGTAGAGAGCCGTTTTCATAGGCACAATTCCATCGGTTTATATCTCGTAGCAAAGGCCCCGTGTTGGTCTGAAAGTTATTAGCCCACTCGACACATTGTTACCTCGCCTGAAAGTGTATTTTTAGGACAAGGATTCAAGGATAGGTCAAAGGATAGGTCAAGATGGTATGTGAAGCCTGACTGTTAAATACCGCCCCGCAAATCTCCTTTCCGAATGCTGCAAATGGTCGGCATACTCCTTTGCGCTGCACTTCTGGTTGCCCCATTTAGCCATTTGTCCTTATGATGGCTCTTAAGAGAGTGTTTGACGCGGTCAAAAGTGCCTTGTTAACCGCTTGATTCGCGGTTTGACTAGGACAAGCCTCGATGGGCTGCTCCTCGCCGGTATGGGGAACGTTCTGAGTGGAGACAGTGCAGCTTAATCGCATTTTTTTGCAGAAATCGCTTCTAACGGGAACGCTTTCTAAGCTTTCTAAGGAAGGGGACTTTAGAAGTCTAAAGTGCCGTACGGTTTCGGGACATTAGAATTAGAAAACATGCCTTCTAATTCTAAGTTTAGAATTAGAATTCTAAATCTAAAGTGCCGGCCAACCCTACCTATATATAGCATGATGGCTAGCCACGTGGCGGTGAAGCAGCAGTTGCCTACCATCTGAAAGCTTGTTTGTGGAATCTGCACTGAACTCTCCACCGCCGAGACCCATGTTGCTCCATTCCTCCATTCCTGGCGTTCTCAATGGGCTGTTCCTACCGCAAGCGTGTGCAATTCAGAAGTGTGCACGCAAGAACCGCTGATGCTCAGTTATGGCAGCAAGTCGGACGCCCAAAGCAAAATGCCACTATTGTACTTTTGTAGAGAGCCGTTTTCATAGGCACAATTCCATCGGTTTATATCTCGTAGCAAAGGCCCCGTGTTGGTCTGAAAGTTATTAGCCCACTCGACACATTGTTACCTCGCCTGAAAGTGTATTTTTAGGACAAGGATTCAAGGATAGGTCAAAGGATAGGTCAAGATGGTATGTGAAGCCTGACTGTTAAATACCGCCCCGCAAATCTCCTTTCTGAATGCTGCAAATGGTCGGCATACTCCTTTGCGCTGCACTTCTGGTTGCCCCATTTAGCCATTTGTCCTTATGATGGCTCTTAAGAGAGTGTTTGACGCGGTCAAAAGTGCCTTGTTAACCGCTTGATTCGCGGTTTGACTAGGACAAGCCTCGATGGGCTGCTCCTCGCCGGTATGGGGAACGTTCTGAGTGGAGACAGTGCAGCTTAATCGCATTTTTTGCAGAAATCGCTTCTAACGGGAACACTTTCTAAGCTTTCTAAGGAAGGGGACTTTAGAAGTCTAAAGTGCCGTACGGTTTCGGGACATTAGAATTATAAAACATGCCTTCTAATTCTAAGTTTAGAATTAGAATTCTAAATCTAAAGTGCCGGCCAACCCTACCTATATATAGCATGATGGCTAGCCACGTGGAGGTGAAGCAGCAGTTGCCTACCATCTGAAAGCTTGTTTGTGGAATCTGCACTGAACTCTCCACCGCCGAGACCCATGTTGCTCCATTCCTCCATTCCTGGCGTTCTCAATGGGCTGTTCCTACCGCAAGCGTGTGCAATTCAGAAGTGTGCACGCAAGAACCGCTGATGCTCAGTTATGGCAGCAAGTCGGACGCCCAAAGCAAAATGCCACTATTGTACTTTTGTAGAGAGCCGTTTTCATAGGCACAATTCCATCGGTTTATATCTCGTAGCAAAGGCCCCGTGTTGGTCTGAAAGTTATTAGCCCACTCGACACATTGTTACCTCGCCTGAAAGTGTATTTTTAGGACAAGGATTCAAGGATAGGTCAAAGGATAGGTCAAGATGGTATGTGAAGCCTGACTGTTAAATACCGCCCCGCAAATCTCCTTTCCGAATGCTGCAAATGGTCGGCATACTCCTTTGCGCTGCACTTCTGGTTGCCCCATTTAGCCATTTGTCCTTATGATGGCTCTTAAGAGAGTGTTTGACGCGGTCAAAAGTGCCTTGTTAACCGCTTGATTCGCGGTTTGACTAGGACAAGCCTCGATGGGCTGCTCCTCGCCGGTATGGGGAACGTTCTGAGTGGAGACAGTGCAGCTTAATCGCATTTTTTTGCAGAAATCGCTTCTAACGGGAACGCTTTCTAAGCTTTCTAAGGAAGGGGACTTTAGAAGTCTAAAGTGCCGTACGGTTTCGGGACATTAGAATTAGAAAACATGCCTTCTAATTCTAAGTTTAGAATTAGAATTCTAAATCTAAAGTGCCGGCCAACCCTACCTATATATAGCATGATGGCTAGCCACGTGGCGGTGAAGCAGCAGTTGCCTACCATCTGAAAGCTTGTTTGTGGAATCTGCACTGAACTCTCCACCGCCGAGACCCATGTTGCTCCATTCCTCCATTCCTGGCGTTCTCAATGGGCTGTTCCAACCGCAAGCGTGTGCAATGCAGAAGTGTGCACGCAAGAACCGCTGATGCTCAGTTATGGCAGCAAGTCGGACGCCCAAAGCAAAATGCCACTATTGTACTTTTGTAGAGAGCCATTTTCATAGGCACAATTCCATCGGTTTATATCTCGTAGCAAAGGCCCCGTGTTGGTCTGAAAGTTATTAGCCCACTCGACACATTGTTACCTTGCCTGAAAGTGTATTTTTAGGACAAGGATTTATCCCTTGTGACTTAACTTGGGTTCGGCCTAAGCTTCTAAGGTTTCTAAGGAAGGGGACTTTAGAAGTCTAAAGTGCCGTATGGTTTCGGGACATTAGAATTATAAAACATGCCTTCTAATTCTAAGTTTAGAATTAGAATTCTAAATCTAAAGTGCCGGCCAACCCTACCTATATATAGCATGATGGCTAGCCACGTGGCGGTGAAGCAGCAGTTGCCTACCATCTGAAAGCTTGTTTGTGGAATCTGCACTGAACTCTCCACCGCCGAGACCCATGTTGCTCCATTCCTCCATTCCTGGCGTTCTCAATGGGCTGTTCCTACCGCAAGCGTGTGCAATTCAGAAGTGTGCACGCAAGAACCGCTGATGCTCAGTTATGGCAGCAAGTCGGACGCCCAAAGCAAAATGCCACTATTGTACTTTTGTAGAGAGCCGTTTTCATAGGCACAATTCCATCGGTTTATATCTCGTAGCAAAGGCCCCGTGTTGGTCTGAAAGTTATTAGCCCACTCGACACATTGTTACCTCGCCTGAAAGTGTATTTTTAGGACAAGGATTCAAGGATAGGTCAAAGGATAGGTCAAGATGGTATGTGAAGTTTGACTGTTAAATACCGCCCCGCAAATCTCCTTTCCGAATGCTGCAAATGGTCGGCATACTCCTTTGCGCTGCACTTCTGGTTGCCCCATTTAGCCATTTGTCCTTATGATGGCTCTTAAGAGAGTGTTTGACGCGGTCAAAAGTGCCTTGTTAACCGCTTGATTCGCGGTTTGACTAGGACAAGCCTCGATGGGCTGCTCCTCGCCGGTATGGGGAACGTTCTGAGTGGAGACAGTGCAGCTTAATCGCATTTTTTTTTCAGAAATCGCTTCTAACGGGAACGCTTTCTAAGCTTTCTAAGGAAGGGGACTTTAGAAGTCTAAAGTGCCGTACGGTTTCGGGACATTAGAATTAGAAAACATGCCTTCTAATTCTAAGTTTAGAATTAGAATTCTAAATCTAAAGTGCCGGCCAACCCTACCTATATATAGCATGATGGCTAGCCACGTGGCGGTGAAGCAGCAGTTGCCTACCATCTGAAAGCTTGTTTGTGGAATCTGCACTGAACTCTCCACCGCCGAGACCCATGTTGCTCCATTCCTCCATTCCTGGCGTTCTCAATGGGCTGTTCCTACCGCAAGCGTGTGCAATTCAGAAGTGTGCACGCAAGAACCGCTGATGCTCAGTTATGGCAGCAAGTCGGACGCCCAAAGCAAAATGCCACTATTGTACTTTTGTAGAGAGCCGTTTTCATAGGCACAATTCCATCGGTTTATATCTCGTAGCAAAGGCCCCGTGTTGGTCTGAAAGTTATTAGCCCACTCGACACATTGTTACCTCGCCTGAAAGTGTATTTTTAGGACAAGGATTTATCCCTTGTGACTTAACTTGGGTTCGGCCTAAAGCGTGTGTACCAGCTTCGTACGGCATTGCACCACCAGGCGCAGGACCGTCCAAGTGCACAGAAATGGCAGAGCTTAGAGTAATAGAAACCCATTACTTCATGCCATGACGCCTCCTCTGCACTTTATTTAGGCATGTTCTGTTTCCCGTCATTACTTCAGTCACCACCCAAAGCGGAAACATAAAATGTTTGTTCGAGTGATTCATATGCAGCGCGTCATTCACCTACGGCTCATTCCAAAGACAGTGCGCGAATAAGAGTGGGTATGAGACATGTCTATGCACACTGAAGGTTCAACAGTGCAAGGAATACACGCCCAGGTGTCTGTATGTGGCAGCCGTCAGACTACTGCTGGCCAAGTGGCCTGAGTAGACGGGTAAGCGGACAAGCCAAGCAAACACATCAGCGGATATCAAAGATACTGCCAAATTACAAGGAAAAAGCGCAAAACGCCGTCATGGGGAATCGAACCCCGGCCTCCCGCGGGCAGTTTTTGGTTGACAGGCGGGGATACTAACCACTATACGATGACGACCCCATTGCCCCGGCATTGCCGGGCTGTCTGCTCTTGTCTACACTAGAAAAAAGTTTCGCTACCGGGACTCGAACCCGGGTCTCGAGAGTGAGAATCTCGTATCCTAACCGCCTAGACTATAGCGAACCACCTTTGGTGTTGATGTCTATGGTGACAAATGGACGTTTGATGCCTGCCGTAGTGGCTCGTGACATAGCCACCCTATACCATAACACGATAACACCTTAACTCTCTCTCCAACCAAATAGCCAGTCATGCCGGGAGAAGCCAACTGAAGAAGGGGGAATGAAACAACTGGGCCCCTGACGCGCTACCCGTGCCCTCTTACGTACTCAGCTAACCTGCTAACACGCATTACTGCTGGCACAGCAACGGACCCAATCTGCGTGGCCTGCTCCTATCCAAGGCCCACGCAGAGACAACCCCCGGCCACTAGACCCAACAAGGAAAACAATGCGAAGGGCGGGTGGGTGGGAAAAGAAACTAGACCTCGGTAAGGCAGCAAGCCCAAGCTCTAGACAGCGAGGGCTATCCCCAATTGACTAGCGTTGACTACAAGAGGCTAGCCGCGATTGGACACAAAACCAACGAAGTTCCCCGGAAGAAAGCCACGCAACGATAAAACAACAAGGAAGGCAACTCTCAAAACGCCATCCGACTACCAAGGCTCAATGTACGACAACTCATGCACTCGCCCCTACGGGTCCTCAAACTAGATTTTTAGCTACGCCAAAAATATAATTTTGATGCCTGCCGTAGTGGCTCGTGACATAGCCACCCTATACCATAACACGATAACACCTTAACTCTCTCTCCAACCAAATAGCCAGTCATGCCGGGAGAAGCCAACTGAAGAAGGGGGAATGAAACAACTGGGCCCCTGACGCGCTACCCGTGCCCTCTTACGTACTCAGCTAACCTGCTAACACGCATTACTGCTGGCACGGCAACGGACCCAATCTGCGTGGCCTGCTCCTATCCAAGGCCCACGCAGAGACAACCCCCCTTTCCCTATCCCTTATCACATCTGCTCTACCACCGCCCGCCTGACTGCCACTGACTTTCGAGTGTACACATCTACGGCCCGGGACTTCCATCGCCCGTGCTCCTTACTGGCCTCTACCACGTGGGTGATGAAGAGGCAGACCAGGAAGCGGTTGAGGTCCTGGCCCCGGGCCCGAGGGAAAGCATCCTGCTCGCTCAGGCGCAGAACAACGACGCAGAACCTCAGGAACCGCTGGCGCCCCGCCTCATAGGTGGCCGCAGACCGGGCCGCCAATGCGCTGCCTACCTGCACTACCCATCGTTTGGCGAGTCCGCTCACGTAGCCTTCGGCAGCCTCCGCCCCAACGCCCGCCGCCGCCAACACGCAGCCGGCGCAAAGGTACCACCCACCCGGGTAGTCGCCGGCTGCCAGCCCTAAGCAGCGGCGGTGCGCCATGCGGTGCTGAGCTGCCGGCTGAGGCGATCTGCGCGCACATTCTCGACGCCCGCGATATGCTCCGCCCGGAGCTCAAACCCCTGCCGGATCGCAAGCTCCACCATCTGCCGGCTGACGCTGCGGCCCTCCGGCACGCGGGTGGAGCCGTGCCTGATCGCAGCCACGGCCTGAGTATTGTCGCAGCGGATCAGCACACGCCGCCCGGTGAGCCGGGGCGCCCACGGCTGCACCGCCCTGAGCACCGCCTTCAGCTCCAGCCAAGCCATGTGTAGCTGCTTCTCCGCCGCTGACCACGGCCCCTGCAGCTCCGCGGGGCCCCAGGCCGCGCCAGAGCCGCAGCCGCTGGCGTCGGTGAAGAAGACTGCACCACTGGGGCCCCAAACTCCCCCCTCACCAAGTCGAGGTCCGCTACAGCGCACTGCTTGACGCCGTCCCACACTGGCGAATCCGACCGAAGACCCTCCACCAGAACTCCAAGTCCTCTATGGCCTCAGCTGCACCAAGCGTGGTGGTAGTGTAGTTACCTTCCACGCTGCTCGCCCCTGCCACTGCACCTCCCTGCGGCGCTGCAGGCGCCACGGTGCTGCTGCTCCCATGTTCTACCGATGGCCTGCCGACTGGATCTGCCATTGAGGATGTCGCCACCGGCTGGCCATGTTCCGCCACCATGGCTCCCTGTCTCAGGGCCAGCGCCGCTGCGTACAAAGCCTCCAGGGGCCCTACCAGCGCCTCTGACCACCGGCCATCCGTCTCCACCACGTGTCCCAACAGCCTGCTGCTGTTCACTGCACGAGCGATAGGGAGATGGGCCGGAGGAAGGTGAGGAGGCCCATAAGATACCCACTTCGCCCTGGAATTGGGTTGTTATCGCCTTGGGTGGTACACAGGTATCCCATTTCGCCCTGGGATTGGGTTGTCCCATATCGCCTTGGGAAGGCACAAACGTATCTCACTTCGCCCTGAGATTGGGTTTTCCCATTTAGCCTTGGGTAGGCACTAAAAGTCCCACTTCACCCTGGGATTGGGTTGTCCCATATCGCTATGGGGAGGAGCCTAAGTATCCCACTTCGCCCTGGAATAGGGTTTTTCCATTTAGCCTTGGGTAGGCACTAAAGGTCCCACTTCACCCTGGGATTGGGTTGTCCCATATCGCTATGGGGAGGCGCAAAAGTATCCCACTTCGCCCTGGGATAGGGTTGTCCCATTTCACCTTGGGGAGGCACTAACGTATCTCACTTCGCCCTGAGATTGGGTTTTCCCATTTAGCCTTGGGTAGGCACTAAAAGTCCCACTTCACCCTGGGATTGGGTTGTCCCATATCGCTATGGGGAGGCGCCTAAGTATCCCACTTCGCCCTGGGATTGGGTTTTCCCATTTAGCCTTGGGTAGGCACTAAAGGATCCCACTTCACCCTGGGATTGGGTTGTCCCATATCGCTATGGGGAGGCGCAAAAGTATCCCACTTCGCCCTGGGATAGGGTTGTCCCATTTCACCTTGGGGAGGTCTAACGTACGGCCCGCCCTCATGGTGTCTCCCACACCGCCCTGGGGTGGCCTACCTGCATGAGTGTCGCCCATGCCGCCCGATGCGCCCGCTAGCCACCCCGCGCCACCGCCCCCCGCGGCGGCGGCGTCTGGGGCACCCGCCATGTCCCTGGCGGGCGCATGAAGTTCCTAGTTCCTCCGCGGCATGCGCCTGCGCGCCGCCGCTAGCTTCCTGTCACGCTCATCCTCCGGGAGGCCTACCAGCGTGGGCCAGTTGTGGAACCTGTGGCCCGTCGCGTCGCAGACAAAACAGCGCTATTGTGCATCGCCGTGGCTGCCTGCGGACCCGCTGCTCGGAAGCGGGAGGGGCGCCTCCCTGGCCGCTGCTCGGTTGCTGGAGGTGCCTTGACCCGTCGCGCTGCGCAGGATGTCGGTCAAGTCCTCCTTGCTGAAAGAGGAGAGGCCGCGCAGTAGGTTGAGCTTATCCGGGTCTCCCTCCTTTAGCCAACGCATGGCCTTGGGAAAGGTAGTGTAGCGCGTGAGCTTGCTGACCTCGGACTGGACCTGCTGCGCCTCCTGCGCCCGCTTGTAAGCTGCGGTGGCAACCATCAAGCTCCGTGCTTGCTCGTCCGTAGTCTGCGCCCTCGCCGCCTCCTGCAGCGCGGCCTCGCCCAGCGACACGCTAGCGCTGATGACGCTCTTGGCATGACTGTTGAAGATGTCTTGGTTGGTAGACAGCCGCTGCACACCCGCTACCGCTAGCAACTCGCTCATGAATGGCGCCATGGCCGCGGTGTCCTCCATGTCAATGCTGGAGGTAAGGGTCTTCTCGAACGGTCCCAGCGCCGACCGTTGAGCCCCCGTTGCCGTCATGCCCGCGCCCGGCCCCGTCGCCAACGTGTCCAGCCAGGAGTCCAAGATGCCGGCGCCCTGGACCGTCAGGCGCCGGGGGACCTTGCTTGGCGGCAGCACCGCCGCCTCCAGCGGACCTTCCACCGCCCTCCTCACTCCCCTTTCCGGGCGCTCTGTCAAGACGTGAGAGGCCCCTTGGGGCGCCGCCTGTCTAACGGCAGGGGGCGCCAACGGGCCTAGTGTCTGAGCTAGGGCCGGGAAGCCCTCGGTATCCACCTGTTCCTCAATATCCAGCACATGTGCGTATTGTACGGGCACCGTGGTTGCTGCTGCTGCTGCTGCGGTTGCAACCTGCCTCGCTGCTGCTGCCGCTGGTATCGGCTGAACTGCTGCTGCCGGTTGTCCCAACCCCGCTGGTCCCTGTCCCGTTGCCCCACCAGCCGGAGGCTCACCTTGTGGGACCGGCGCCAGCGCACCGTGTCCCTCCTGGGTCGTAACGATCGCCCCAGCCGCGAAGGCCTGGCTGAGCCGTGACTTGCGCATGAAGATGGCGCGACGTGTGTCTTCCCGAGCCCGCAGTTCCAGATAAAATGGCTGCCTGCGCTCAATCTCTCGAATTACTTCTGCCGTGGCTTTCTTATAGCGGGCAACCGACTGCAAATACGCCTCTTTCGTTGCTTTGGTCTTGCCCGGCTTGAGCAAACTGATAGCGTCCTGCTCAGCTTCCTCGGCTTCAATAATTAAGCGTTCACAGGTTTTCAGATGTTCCTGTTCCTCGGCTGTGAGTAGTGCTGCCGCTGGGGACTGAAGCTGCCGGTCGCAATCTTCAAGTGTTCTCAAGTGGTTCAAAAACTGGTCTGCCATTGTTAACAAAGAAACTAGACCTCGGTAAGGCAGCAAGCCCAAGCTCTAGACAGCGAGGGCTATCCCCAATTGACTAGCGTTGACTACAAGAGGCTAGCCGCGATTGGACACAAAACCAACGAAGTTCCCCGGAAGAAAGCCACGCAACGATAAAACAACAAGGAAGGCAACTCTCAAAACGCCATCCGACTACCAAGGCTCAATGTACGACAACTCATGCACTCGCCCCTACGGGTCCTCAAACTAGATTTTTAGCTACGCCAAAAATATAATTTTATGAAGAGGTTGCATCCTCCGAAACCAAGTCCGTCCCCCCAAAAGTCGCCCAAAAACGCAAGATCCCATCCTCATGCGCATCGCGGGTGCAATGGCAGTGAAGTGAAAACAACATACGGGACTCCCTACCCTGAGAAAACACGTTTGGGGGGTGCCTGATGGTGTAGGGGCGGTGGGGGGAGGATGTGCTGCACAGATTGCCTATGGTGGTCCTTGCTCAGCCAGCAAATGTATGTTGCGCTGTGGGCGAGACATTGATGCTATACAATAGGATGAAAGTATGCCTACCTGTCATGCATGTTATGTATGCCCCTTCTTCTCTAGCTGTGTCTGTGATGCAAGGTGTGTGTGTGTGTGTATGTGCGTGGCTGGCTGCACATAATTCACCATGGTAGGCACAGAAGTCGGTGCGGTTTTTGTGATGTCTTCCAGGGTACCCTTCACTCCGGGATCCTTATCAATCGTGCGTTAATTAGCAGACGATATGTAAATGTGATTGGGGTCTGACCCTGTAATAATCTTGTTGGGTAGGGTTGTCAAGGGGTCGCTGTGGTAGGTGCAGAGTTCAGTGTGCAAGCAGTGTATAATCGACAGCAGCCCTTTCATTTAATAGCTCGCAAGTGTTGGCTCACCGCTCCCACACAGCCAGCCACCTGCTGGCCAAGCTTAAGTGCATGTGCCTTTATTCAGTTAAACATTACGCAAGTATCTGCACCCACTCCTACTTGCCCTGGGTGTCAACACACTCACCGCACATGCATGCTGTGATGAGCTGCATGACAATGCTGTCAGCTTTCTCAACGCCATAGTGAGGCACCGAAGGCGGATGGAACGAGTCCTCCCCCAAGGAGACCCAGGAGGCCAACGCCCACCAAAATACCACTAGCTACTACTCCATTGCTGTACATGTGGTGAAGGATGTACAGTGGAGGGGGAACCCGTCAACCTTCACCACAGCCCGCCCCCTTAAGGCACGCCAGGGCAAGCCCGGTATAATTAATTATTGCATGTGCCTTTCACATGAGACACATTGGGTGTAAGCGCAGGTTACTGGCAGGCTAGGGGTATCCGTCAGCCCCAATCATTATAGTAGTGTGGTTTGCAACAAGACCATTCACTAGGAGCAAAATGTCAGCCACCGCTAAAGGGGGGTGACCTCACCTGGGAATGACACATGCTCCTAGGCTACCAGTAACCCAAGCTTACATCCACTGCGGCTTGTGCAGCTCAGGAGCATGCGCATGAGATGTGGATAGTAGCCCTATATATAGCATGATGGCTAGCCACGTGGCGGTGAAGCAGCAGTTGCCTACCATCTGAAAGCTTGTTTGTGGAATCTGCACTGAACTCTCCACCGCCGAGACCCATGTTGCTCCATTCCTCCATTCCTGGCGTTCTCAATGGGCTGTTCCTACCGCAAGCGTGTGCAATTCAGAAGTGTGCACGCAAGAACCGCTGATGCTCAGTTATGGCGGCAAGTCGGACGCCCAAAGCAAAATGCCACTATTGTACTTTTGTAGAGAGCCATTTTCATAGGCACAATTCCATCGGTTTATATCTCGTAGCAAAGGCCCCGTGTTGGTCTGAAAGTTATTAGCCCACTCGACACATTGTTACCTCGCCTGAAAGTGTATTTTTAGGACAA